GGGGGAGGGGTGAAAGCAGTGCGGGAAAAAAAAAAAAAAACAAACCAAAAAACCAAACCAAAAAAAACCCAATGCAATTATGTTTAATACTCTTGATCCGATTCTGGTTGGTTTGCTTTGATTAATTTTCGTGTGTATTTAAGGGAACGAGGAAACAGTTGCTCTCACTATCATAGCCTAAAAGAATAAAAGTTGCAATGTTTCAAAAAAACCCAACAAAACTGGAGAAATGCTGTCTATGTAGAAAAGTACAAAGCTCTACAAGAACAGCCAAAGGAAAAGTGGGTCTTTGGAACAAATCATAATATATTTTAAGGCATGTTACAAGAAACTTTCAAATACTATAATTGGTAATCCTGCCAGGGTAGAAATGAAACCATAACCCAAGACCAAAGACTCCCGCAGGGTGGCCACGCAGCTGCCGCGTGGCTCGCTTACCTGCCTTTCTGCTACCCCTGTCATCTGAAAAAATCTCATCGAGTGCAACTGTCATTGATTCAAGCTCCACTATGTTCACACTAGTGGAAATACAAATAGTGCATAACTACTTCCTCAGAACTATACAAAGAAAAACAACACTTACGCTTTTCCCCCCCACCACATTGTGTGGTAGCTTACATATGGCCTATGTTTTTGAAAATGTCAGAGTGTAACAAAGAAACAAGACTGGGAGATACTTTCATTAATATTTTCTGTTAAAAATTTTACTGTGCAATTTTTCCTATATTAGAAGCCCATCTGTTTTATATTATGCACTTCATGTTAGGCAGTTCATATTGTACTTCATGCCATTTTCTTGGTCGATGAACAATCTGTGAGGTAAGATTTTCACATTTCTGTAAATAACATTGCATAACATGCACTTCCAACTCAGTTTCAAACTTGGGTTCTGCTTTTTTTTTTTGTTTGTTTGAGGGTGGGTGGTGTTTTTTTCAGCACTTATGCAGTGGATCTCACACTGACAAGCTGTTTTACAGATAGTTTGTACTGCTCAATAAACCGTTTCCCAATCTAGGTATTTTAAACATTGAAATATCATTAATTCAACATCTCACATCTTGCTTAACCATGGTGGCTCACACAATGGGCGGGCAGGGGGGAAGAGAACATTCATACCATCTAGCTTAGGCAGATAAGTTGTGTAACTCAGAGGACCAAAGTTAAGCCTACGTTTGCTCTATAGTGAATGGGAAGAGGTAGGTGCCTCTAGGAGGGCGATTCGGAGCACCCAAAGTGGGCATTCAGATGTCAGAAATAAATGGTGTGCCTATCTCCCTAAGAGCACAAAGTACAGTGACGAAAGTTCTGCAAGGTGGTTGGGAAATGGGCTACATTTACGTTCTAGTAAGGCTTAATGTTTTGCGACATCTAATGCCCTTTGATACATTGGTAGTGGAAAGGTCTTGAAAGATTAAGAGCAGAGATGGCCAATTCTCTTCCATTAGTATGATTTCCTTTAGTTATCGTCCACTGAACTAAAATCAGGATATTTATGTATGAAAATCTGCAAAACGTTTTGTACTCAAGTTTCCTTTGTAGCAGATGAGAGCGTTTTTAGGCAGTTCTGCAGATGGAGGCAAAACTCTCGAACCTAACTCCAATTACAGCACTTCTAAGGGCCTTATACACACACACATACACACTCAACACACACACACACACCCCAGCACCCCTATTTTCACTCATTTAAACACAACGAACTACACTGTTACTGCACAAGATTGCAAAACTAATAAACGCATGGTGTTATTTAGACCACAGGCTCAGTGACTCTGTATTCTTATGGCCAATTTTACCTATAAAAGATCCAGCTCAATCTCTCCAGCATTTAAAATCTAAACATTGTGATTGAAAACTCTTCTATACTTTGATTGTAAGACTTCAGAATAGGTATTTCTGTGCCATTAGTCATGCAAATGATAAATACTTCACTGCTATGAAACTAGCAAGTCAGAGCTTGAGCATCCTTTTGAAATAAAATATTTGCTCCCACCATTTAACACTCCAATAATTGGGGCAACCTTTGAACAGTGTGTCAGGCAATTAAAGAGCCATTTCCACACTCACCTAAGGAATTACAACCGTAACTATTTCACCTCTGAACCAAATGATTTCACATGGTTATTCAGTTTAAGTTTTCAACATTAAAGCTATCAAATAGCAAACTTGATTTTCAAAGGTTAGTTAGGGATCACACCAGAGAACATAGCCCTTAAAGGCAAGAAAAATCGTTGTCTTTAACAAACTTAAAAATGCAGGATGTTCATACTGTCCCACGAGGTTTCTGCAGAAGGGAACATATGGATGCAACATGGCTTAATTTTCCTTACGAGATGGTACTAGTTAATCTATTAAAGTGTTCCTTGTTAGTAAGGCTCAGCAATTTTTTTTCATCACAGTTGCTTCCTCCTGGTTCAGTAAAGTGATAAATAAAGATGCTTCTTGCTTTGTAAACAGAGGGTTTGTTTGGCTTTTTGCAGACCAAAACCTGAAGCGATCCTCCATTTCTGAGCAGCAAAATGAAAGACTTAAAACATTCCAATGCCTGACTGTTTCTTCACCCGTCATTTGTTTTCAGATCTTGCCCCTCATTTCACACACTGATGCAATGTTTTCTATTTCAAGATGTGGGATAAAGTAGAAATAATAGCATCGATTTTGAAAAAAATCCAAACTATATAGGTCTCTGGTAGCCTCTTCCTCTAACACTGTCCGAAGTTCCGGTGAAATCAACAGACTTGACTGAACTAACTTGGCCACAAGTGATAGCGCACGTCCTGAAGCATGGTAATTAGACACTGAAAGACTTGGCTCTCCTTTCGCGCTTACGCTAGTTGTGAATAGTCTTCAGAGATGTTCTCTCCACTGCTTTTGTTCCCCATTTCCAAACGCTTTCCATCTTCTTCAGAAATGGTTGCTGTTGTTGCTTCTCTGACACGACAACACACATACGCTCAACTGGAACGACCCTGTAGATCAGCTGGCTATGCCATAAAATTGCAGGTGCTCAAAGGGAAAAACGGGCGAGATGTGGTCATTTAACCCAATTATATTGAGTCAGTGATTGACTTCCAATGCTCAGCTCTGAGTTGATGTTGCTACTTCACTACAGCTGTATTTCAAGTGACCCACAAACCAGGAAGTGAAGTAGACAGTTTTACCACCTTACAAAATTTCTGCAAATTAAGTCCAGGTTAGGTCATTTTTAATGCTATTGTATATTACATGCAGAACAGCATGGATCATCTTTGTCTGGCTGTGCTGCATAGTTCATTTGTCTAACAATTTCCGCAAAGAGCTCATCCACCATTGTTTTACTTTTAGCAGAGGTTTCCATAAACGGGCAGCCCCATTCTTCAGCTAAGGCTCTGCCTTCACTCAATGATACTTCTCTCTCACTTTCCAGGTCCACTTTATTACCAACCAGAATTACTGGCACCTTCTCATACCTACAGTTTAAAAAAAACAAAACAAAAAACAACAGCAATAATTATATTTAAAAACCAGCAATATTCTAAATGTAAACATCTATTTGCAAACTGTACAGACCCAACAGGAAAGAGACATTTGGATGATCTTAAAATTTCATGTTGAAAAAAGTGTTTTAGGTATTTCGCATTCTAGCAGTTTGTTGCACATCATTTCCCCCTCCCCCCAACCCCACCCCGAGCTTTCTTAGAGTCCTAGGGAATGCTGCCTTCTCTGAAGTTTCTTTCCCACCAGGAAATCCTCCACGAACACCTCCATGCTAGAAAAACTTGTTATATTCCTAGCTTTTGTATGTTGGCGATCTCAGTTAGGGCATAAGAACAGGATGAATGTCCAACCCTCCCTTCAACATTAGGTCTTCCTTCTCCCTGAACAGGTATCATGTTGTATTTCCTGCTTGTGAGAAGGAGGATGCACCACTCTCCCTTTCAAAGGCACGTTTACCTTTGGTTAATATATACGGAACCCCCAGATCAGCAATAAAAGGAAGAAAACCAAAGTGCCAGCAAATTCATTTGAAATTTCAGGAAATGCAGCCCACTTTGAGTACTGTATACATACAAAAGTATTGTTATATAAAAACACGTATTAGCTAATACAGCATACATATCTCCCCCTTGCAGCATTCACATCATTATCCCAGTTAAACAAGTTGAAAAGAAAAAAAAAATTAAGTTCCAGGCAATACTATGACTGCTCTGCTTCATAATCAACTTGGACAGCACAATAGATCACATAAGCTGTGAAGCAATTTATTACTTTACACCTCCTTTTGAGGGGATCCTTGCCAAATTTTTTTTTTTAATTTAAAATACCTGCCTTTTTTTTTTTTTCGATCCTCACATGCATAAAGCATTCTTCAGACATGGAACTAAATAAGCGTTCAATCAGGTTTTAAATTTACAAATTTGCCATAGCAGAGAAAAAAACACCGGGCCTATTTCCAAAATACTCTTATTACATGGGTTTTCTCAGAAAAGCAACAAGGACTGAGAGAAAAAACAATTATAGCTTTTAGCACTTAGACTAACCAAAGATCTAAGAGAAACAAGACAGTTCTCTCTTAATTTAAACCTGATTTTCTACTTCATATTAGCTTAGTAGTACTGCTTTGAGTCCAGTCACATGAGTAAAGCTGAGCTGTGGACAGACAACAGCCATAGCTGACACCTGCAGCAGTTGAAGATGTCACTGTCCTTAAGCCACCTATTACTCCTCCTCCTCCTCCATCCCTCCCTCCCTGCCTCCCAGGCAGGGCAGCAGAGCGGAGCTGGCGCATGTGCCTCGGCTGGTTGAGGGAAACAGCCTGCGGCTTGGGCTAACCTACCAGCCATGGTGAACCTCAGCTGTCAAGGCTCTGTGCTGGAACAGAGAACCTGTGTTCCTGCTGGCTCCACTGCAGGGACAGTGGGCTCTCACAGAAAGGATAAAAGGGCAGTAACTTCTCAAACCATCTCAGCAACTCTTACACCACCATAGCAGCATCAAAAATTGGTCCAGCTATATCATAAGATGCAGCTGAAATTCTAAAATTTGTTATGTCTCTTTGCTAACCATGGGAATGTCATTTAACCCACAGCCTAGGGCAGTGGTCAATAATTGCAGAGAATTCCCCTCACTTTCACCCCTCGTTTACCATCTGAAGAGACACAATCCATTTCTTACTCTGTGGATATACAGTATTTAGCACAATGATACCTTTGGAACTCTTGCAAGAGCTAAGCTGCCATTAAGTACCAAAATACACACAAGCATCTTGAAATCTGTCCTCCTGCATTTAAACACATGATGGCATAGTCTTTAATTACATAAGATGGGTGGCATTCAACAGAAAAGACAGCAATTCAATGTTTCTTTTTATCTTCATTGTTCAGATGCATGTGTCCTATTGTATTTGCTGTACAGCATTAAAAAAACTTCAGTGACAGTGGAATCGTGTATACGTTCACTGCATTTCTGGACATCTGAGGGCCCCAAACTTCCCCCCCTGCCAGGTCCTCCAGGTCTTCTGTATCTTCTCAGTTTTACCGGGGGGG